GTTATTTAAGTCAACATTACATTACATTACATTAAATTAGAGGCAATTCATTAATAAATTGAAAAATTAAACATAATAGATAAAATAATTGCAAAATTATAATAAAATCAATTGATTAAAAATTTAAAAATTAAAAAATTAAAAATTAAAAATTAAAAAATTTTAAATTAAAAATTTTCAAGTTTCTGATTTTTTCATTTGTATTTACCTAACTACCTATCTGTATGCCAAATTTGAACTTTCTAGGTCATCTGGAACTGGGTTAGAATTTTGATCTATAGGTAAGTCAGTGATAAAAATGACGATTTTCGGACGTTAATATCTAAATAACGGTTTGAAGTGTGTTTATGAAATTTAGAGCACATATGTATCTCGTTAGTCTCAATATATGAGCCAAATTTGACATGTTTATGTGGAATAGTTTTTGAGTTATGAGGGGGTCAAAAGTGGCTCCAAATGGTTCGTGTAATATTACACACGGTGCTGCTCGCCAGTTCTGTTAGCTAGAACTTGGCTTGACACGCTACCGCGTGTCTAGATTATAGTGTCCATATATTCATTTATTTATGAATGGGCAAGGAGCCCAAAAGTACAATACAATTTATACTAATATATAAATATGAACAATATAACATAATCGTTAAAGTGAAGTCTAATAAACAAATAGCAAAATAACTATAAAATAGTAACAACAGATTGCAGTATTATTATTTATAAAAACATTTTAAGAGAAACTAAGGTGCTTGTTACCAATGTACATCATACGGTGAATGGAATTATTTCTTTAATAGTAGGTGTTGTGGAATGGAACATAGGAAAACTAAACCTAGTTAAATGATAATGTAATTTAAAATGAGAAGGAAGAGAGGGAGCATCCACACGTCTCTCAATTAGCTTGTGCACAAATACCAAATTAGCTTAAACTCTTCTATCTGCTAGAGACAAGAATTTAAGTTTATTCATCAATGGCCTATAACCATGGGATGTGCCCAGTCGGCCAGACAAGTAAATACTAGGCTGATTCCAACCCATCCATATTTTTCTATTGATATTTTAATAATATCTATATAACTATGGATATAGGTCAGATTAAAATAAATATCAAAACAACATTGAAATACACAAAAGGCATGTTCATCTGGTATCTGCAGGATTTTAATTTTTGTTTTTTAAGGATTTAAATATTATATTTAATATAAATAGTCTTTAATTTAATGTAGGTAGGTACAAATATTTGTTGTGATATTGAATCTACTATTTTTCTTGTTTCATGAAAAAAATCAAATATGTTAAGATATACCAAAAATAGTATAGGTAGATATTTTAGAGTTGTGATTTTGGTCTAACAATAGTCACTTATATCTAAATTATTCTATTGGTAGTCAGTGCATACAGTATTTACACAGTTCCTAGAAAAATTAGATACTTTGTAATTTGTTTAGTTACTTAACTTAAGATGTATGCAGAATTTTGCAAAATAAATGACGCTGAAGAACGAAAATACCAATATTATAAATTAATTAGATTGTGTAGTCAATATCACTGCATGATGTTTTTGATTATTTGAAAATATTATTTGTAGTTACATATTTTAACTTATGCATAGGTACCATGTAAATAATAGTTACTTAATTTTAGAAAATCAATCTTTCATTTCCTCAACAAACCACCGTATCCAGAGATAAGCCATTTGTTATACCTCCTTATTTAAATCATTAGTTTGGAAGGCCTAATTTTTTTTTATAATTGTATGATTATAATTAATCTGTAATCATTTTTTTTTAAATAACACAAAATAACAATAAAATATATAATAAATTAAATACAATTGTATGTATGTGTATTTGCAGACAAATTACCTGAAGATGGAATTATCACAACAAAAGGCTCTCAATTATTCAAATAATAAGTACATAATGTTGTTAAAATAATTATTTGTTTAATTTTATGTTGTTTTACAATTTTATTGATGTATATTTTATTGTAAAAATAACATACCTACATAAAAAAAATAATTTTAAAATCATCTTTATACCACATATTATGTAACTTACAAATACATTTATAATAAAAATATAATTGTAAATAAATTAAAATGTACAAATATTTACATTAATTTTGTTTACTTAAAAACCAAAGCATGTTATGATATAATTCATTTTTATTTATTAATGCTTCATAAGTAACATTGTGATTCAATGTTCAATGGGTTTATAACTATGCTTAAAATATTTATCATTTAACATTTAATCAACACAATGTTAAATAAATGTAAGTGCCCCTTTCATAACTTATTTAACTTATTTTTGTGGTATCTACATAAACCTACTAACATATTCACCCCCCCCCCCAGCCATAACTTACGTACACTACTGTTTAAAATTGTTTAGGTACCTACATCATTATTGGCACATATTTTTGATATATTTAAAATTATACCTTAACACTACCTATATGATATATTGTGATGCACAATTTCAATTACTTATTTGTGCCAACAATATATTATTAATGCAAATTTCCAAATCCACCCATGAGGTATTGCATTTAGATTCGTTTCTTTTAAGATTTTTAAAGCGGTAAAAAGATCCCCTGTAGGCCTAAAAACCCGCATTTCTTTTTTTTTACAGCTAAATTATATTACACACACATAATAAAATGCATAGTAAGCATTTTATATACAAACATAACTGTTTACAATTTCATTTTTAATTACTACAACTATAGTCTAATAGTTTTCCATGACATACTCATTTTATGAATAAATCATAATACCAAATTATTATTAGCTATTATACTGCTCATAGAGTTCATCATAGACATATTCTTCTGAAAATAAAATTGAATATGAATGCCTTACATTTCCTCAAAATTAAATGAGTGGAATTATTGTAAGCGCTTGAATGAACTCTTTTATATAAGTGGCTCAAAGTTGGACAAATCAACTTTTAATTAGTCTGACCAACAAAAATTATACAAAAATAGTTTGAACTTTAAATATAAGTTAATTAAAAAATAATTACTGTGATAATGTAAAATTATTATAAGATAATATAGATCATTTTAATATTATTTTTTTAAATTTAAAGTTTTATAAAACTTAAGCCATTTTCTATTTAAAATAAAAAATAGTTTTAACAATTGATGAAGCTGTTATTTCCTCAAAACGTATGAGTGGAATTTAAAATCATAGGTCGTCACTATAACTAAATTTTTTTATAAATCTTGATGCTCATATTTCCTCAATACTAATTGAGTGGAATTTAAAAATCAAAGAGTCATCGCTTTAAATGTGATAGTTAATAAATAAAATATACCAAATTAATGTAAAAAACGTATGAATGTTATAACACGGACATAAATTATGTTTATGAAAATTTTTTTTAGATAGTTGCACATTGATTTGAGCACAGTCCACAAACCCAATCTGGGTTTTCAATTTCTTTTTGCTCAATTGCAGGTAAACATGAGATATGCAGCCATCTAGTACAAGACCCACACTGAACCATTATACTATCGACTTCACAATTATAGTTTTGTCTAAAACTACCTTCGTCTTTTCCACAAATTAAGCAAATGTTCTTCATACATTTTGAACTTGATAGTATCAAGTCCTGAAAGTTAGAGCGATAACTGTTTGGATCGAAATCATTAATTATTCTTTTATTACTCATTAATTGATTTGCAAAGTACAACATAAATACACCGCAGTTAAACCCATCATCTTGATATGGTATTTGGACAAACATATCTTTCCATTTGTTGATATCACCTACGTTTTGCTTTGGTTTCCATATTTTAGGCACACCACATAAAACATTCAGAACTCTGTTCTTCCAGTCATTTCTCTTCTGGGTATCGTTATGCACACTTTCTATAGAATTTAAATAACTTACTGTTTTTTTTTATAAAATCTACATATATCAAAGTCCAATGGTCTTTTTCCAGCAAAGGTATTAATAACCTTGATGAATCAATCCATTCAGGTCTATGAGCTGTAGAATTTTCAACACTTCTACCAAGATTGAACATATAGTATGATTGATCTGGACTCACACAGCCTATCTGCGGTCTCTTCTTAGTGATCCAAGACCTTGAATTTCTCTCCAAAAATATCTGAAACAAACACCATATTTCTTTATTATGTAACCAAAGCATACTAGTATCGCCTTTAGTGTTTAAATTCAAAAAATCCAAAGACGATATTTCTATCTCTTCGTTTTCAAAAGAAATTTGCGATACTACATATTTGTCAACTCCACGATAAGACTTCATGTAATACATTGGATCTTTCACCAATTTGTTCGTACGGTATAAGTTATAATTTCCTGTTGGAGACTTATCAGTGGACGATTCCCATACAACTGCGTGTCCATAAGTTTCTGATGGAATTTGGGTAGTCGAAGCCACAGGTGAAGTATTAACAACAGTTTTATTTATATTCTCAATGACTCTTGGGCTTGTACTATTTTCTCTTGTAAATACACAATCATGATCACTAATGTCATTGAGGTTATCAAATAATTGTTCACCTATATCCAAACTGTGCACAATTGGTTGGTCTGTTTGACTGCAAACAGTGAGATGATCATTATTAAACTCATCGTGTTTTGAATGTAATACAATACCCTGTTGTAGTGTCTTATCTTGGAACTGCATATTTAATAACAAACAATTTTGTTGGTTCTCACCATAACTTTTACCTAAAATTTTATTATTGTTTCTCAAGAATGCTGGACGTTTTCCTTTCTTTTTCCAAGTTTCTGGAGTATTTAAATGCAGATTGTCCTCATCACACGGGGTCGACGATCGCCCACCTTGTCGTGGTGACCCCGCCCGACCGGGCTCACGCCCGGCGCTAAGAGGCGTTCAAAAACTGTCCGGAGTAGGCCGGCTCCGGACTTCTAACCCCTGGCACGGAAAAAATGCAACCGCCGAATTAGCCCGCCGGCGGCCAGAGTGTGTAGGGCTACCGGGGCAGCCCCCCGAACATTAACAACATGAATACACAAAAAATAATAAAAGATGATGGTACCGGCACAGAGGCCCAGGAAACCTCAGGCCCGGCAGGTGTGGGTGAGCTCGCCACACAGGTCGTAATCAGTAGCTCCGGAAATGCGCAATCGAACTTGGAATCGGAATACTTGGAATACAAAGATACGGACGTATTAAGACTCAGAGGGGGTGACGGCTCCTCTGATGAAAACGATGATGGCACAAACTATAGGTCCAGTGGTGGCATGGTCACGGAGGCTAGCACTTCCGCTAAACGAGGGCCCACGAGTCCAGTAGAGGCTAGCAAAACAAAAAAGAAGAGGACCACCGAAGTGGCGAAACTCTCAAAAGAAATTAATACTCACATTGGGTGGCTGGAGCAGTTTGCCCACACCGAGAGGACCAAGAAACTGACGATAGCTGGGCATGAAGGAATCATGGAGAGAACCAGAGCCCTTAGGGACGTATTTTCCGATCTATGCTTAGAGGCTAACAGACTGGGTAGCAGGTCACAACTTACCCAAGAGCAGTTAAAAGCAATGATGAACACTTATAGTGAAGCACTCTTGGAAAAGACAGCGGAAATACAAAAGCTACAGAGAGAAAATGAAGAGCTAAGGGCTGAAATCCAGGCTAGAGAGGAAGCGGACGAACTAGCAGAAGTTCGGCCGGCGACACAAACTGTTCGTCCTTCCACCTCAGCTCAGACAAGAGAAACTGCAAGCTACGCAGAAATGGCGAAATTGGACCCTAAGCCAGGTCAGCCCAGAGCAAAGGGCGCCAAGAACAGCTCTAAAAGTGCAAAAAAGAAGACCTTAATGAGGTGTAGAGAGGTTAAGACCTCCTCAAGACTGACGTTCGAAGTGCCAGCTGGCGGCACAATAGCATCGGCTAAGGCCGAGCTATGGGCTACGGTTAAGGGAAGAATGAACAATCCTAGGGCTAAGACTTTGGTTAAGGATAATCAGCTAATAATCATCCCAGATGATGGGAATACGTTCGAGGTGATCAGCAAACTGCCCAACGTCAGTATATCAGGACCCAGACAACCGAGAGTCATTATATATGACATCGACTCGGAGTTGACGGACGGAGAAATTGTCGATGGACTAATAAATCAGAACCCAGAACTGGGTCTCTCCCAAGAAGACATAGATAGATTGTCACTGAAGCATAGGCTGGGACCGAGAAATAGTTCGACCACGCATAAGGTGCTCGAAGTACATGCAAGCACACTCCCGAAAATAGAAGGCAAGCAGGTCTACCTGGGCCTTACCCGTTGCAGGGTAAAACTGTATCAGAGCATGCCACAGTGCTTTAATTGCCAGAAGCACGGGCACACGGCCCTTAGGTGCAAGGCAGATAAGCCCACATGTAAGTACTGTGTGGGACCGCATGACAGTCGCAATTGCGATGATAAATCAAAAACAAAGTGCGCCAACTGCAGGCAGGAGCATCAAGCCTCGAGCTCGACCTGTAAGTCCAGGGAAACAGCCCTAAGGAGTCTACTTAGACGCACGGACTTTGGCCATAAATGATAAACATAGTACAGACAAACCTAAATGGACAAAGAGCAGCCTCGCTCCAGCTGCGGGACTACTGTGCCCAAAATAAAATAAACATAGCGCTCTTACAGGAGCCCGTTGCCCAGGGTAATAAAATATACGGCTTTGAAGACTGCAGGGTAGTGTCAGCTGACACACCTGGGGCAGCTATCGCAATCATGGACAAAAACATACAAGCCATCGAGCTCACACAGCACAATTCGACAAACATTGCAGTCATCGATGTCGGTCTAGGATCAAAAACCGTTACCCTTGTGTCAGCATATTTCAAGTATAGCGTGCCCACGCATCACTTCACGGAGAAGTTGAGAACGATTCTCGAGGGGAGCACCGAGGCTATTATAGGTGCAGATACCAATGGCCACTCGCCGAGATGGCATAGCTCCGATCAAAATCAAAGAGGCCGAATAGTGGAGGACCTCATTGATGACTTTGACCTAAAGATTATAAACACTCCAGGCAATATAGAGACCTACGCACGCCAGGGCATGGGTTCCTCCAACATCGACGTAACTCTTAGCACGCCAGGCATTGCTGGTAACATCACGAACTGGCTAGTAAGCGACGTGACCGATAGCGATCACCGCTTACTCAGCTATGCCCTGGACATCACGATAGGTAGGACTCAAGGAAGTAAACGCTTCGACGTTGGCAGAGCGGACTGGGACAGTTTCTCTCTGGAACTAGCAAGAAGCGTTCTGACAGTCCAGACGACGGCTGGTCTCAACGCACACGCGTCAACACTGATAGGTGCCATAACCACCGCCGCCAAAAAAGCAATTCCAACAAGGACTGACAGACGGTGGAATATAATAAGACAGCCTTGGTGGACGGAGACACTTACCTCCATGAGGAAAAGGCTAAATTTGGCCAAAAGACGAGGTCTCATGCATCAGGACAGACAGGCATACAATCGCCTGAGGAATCAATTCCTGCAGGAAATAAGAAGTTCCAAGATGACGGCATGGAGAAATATGTCCGACAATATAAACGTGCACACCTGGGGCAAAGCGTTTAAGTACGCGAAAAACGGACCTCGCGCGATAGGCGTCACCTGCTCTTTAAGCAGGGCAGATGGGACCCTTACAAAGACAGTCGGCGAGACAATATCAGAGCTGCTAGATACATTCGTTCCTGCAGACCCGGACCAGGGGGGGTCCCTGCGATATGGACCAATGGAACAACATGTTCCGATCGATGAACTAGAAATAAAGAACGCAACCCGAGTAGCATTTTTTACGTTCAGTGTCGGTTTCTCATTACTGTCAATTTTATACGGTTTATACTGGGTATGTGAACTGTGCTATTGAACCATCAGGGTTCAGTCAAAATGTTTCGGTGTAGTATTTAAACTCAAAATTATATGATGGTTCATGGTCGGTGTTTCAGACACTGAACTGTTCAGTCAAAATGTTTCGGTGCAGTTTTTAAACTCAACATTATATAATGGTTCATGGTCGGTGTTTCAGACACTGAACTGTTCAGTCAAAATGCTTCGGTGCAGTTTTTAAACTCAAAATTATATGATGGTTCATGGTCGGTGTTTCAGACACTAAACTGTTCAGTCAAAATGTTTCGGTGCAGATTTAAACTCAAAATTATATGATGGTTCATGGTCGGTGTTTCAGACACTGAACAGTTCAGTCAAAATGTTTCGGTGCAGTTTCTTACCAGTAGTAAAATAATTAAATTGATTAACGATTTTATTAACAATAGTGTTTAATTACCAAATAATAAAGTATAGGTATTTGAAAATGATTATACATGGCAAGTATTTGTATTACTGAATGGATGTTTTATGTGGGCATTATTTTAAAAAATCGTCTTGAACACAGACACCAGAAAGGAGGGCATTCTTAAAATAGAAATGGTAAACATGCCGACCCCGCGCAGCATACCCAGTCATACGTTTTCGTAATACGGGTAAACAGAGCTCTAACATTATGTTAATGCGCAGGTTATCATTTCCGTGTTTTTCGGAGGTCCAGACTTCTTAACAGCTGAAAGTATAATATACTTAGGGTGACCATACGTCCCGTTTAAAACGGGATTGTCCCTTTTTTATCATTACCTATGTCCCGTTGTCCCGAGAAACTTTGAACGGGACGCTTTTTATCCCGTTTTAATTCCGTTATTTCCATATAATTAAATTATAATTTATGAATTTTTGTAAAAGAATAAAATAAAACATATATAAAACTTGAAACCAAAGTTATAAACAACAGACTAAAATTTCCGTGGAACGGACGTCGAGTGCCGATGCCGACGAGCAATACAAATAGTAATAAGATAAGCGTATAGCTATTAGCTATAGTAGTATAGCATAATAATTGTACCATACTACCATAGTAGTAGTAAATTAGCCATTAGGTAATAATGTATAGTATTAATTCTATGAATCTTTCGCGGACCGTGGCATGCGATAACGATAGCCGATAGTTTCTGCGAATCACCTAGTCAAAAAGTTGAACAACAAAATATGTCGAATAGTAACGTACGAATAGTTAAGCAATTGTGTTTATTATAGCCACTAATAATTTTAAAAAATGTGTATGTTTTTTTAGAGTATTTAAACCAAAAATGTCTTGTCCCGTTTTTTTTTTTGTAAAACTGGTCACCCTAAAGTATATATAACTCTGTACTAAATAAGAGCGCACCGCGCTGGCGCATCCAAATGGATCGCGGAGCGACGTCTGTTCCCCCTGGTCGGGTCTATTCGCTCTGTGATTGGTCCGTGGTCGCCGATCGTCGGTCGGATTTGCCGCCGCCGACGACGCCGCCGTGAATAGGCGGAATACGCTGCGGCAGCGCTCTCTGACATGCGCGAGTTTCGACCGGTTTTCGTGCGCTATACAGTTTAGTTAGCTGCAGTTACCACGTCGTGCGTGTAAACAACCAACAACAGCGTCTTGCCTTATAATTGTAAATTTGTTTCATTTGTTTTTATCGGCAGCGATTAAACGATTAAACGATTAAAGCGATTAAACGATTTTTCAATACTATCATAATTCATCAATCATCGTCATCCATATTATTTTTGGTAAAATGTAAGTACCTTTATACATAATATAATATTATTATTTTATGGAAATTATAGTGTTAAAATTCGATTTTTTCGAACCACTTTTTATATAGTTATACTTTTATGATAAGATTCTAACTTTGTGAATTAATATTCCATGGATAATATTAAGCTTATAACCATTTGTATAGTGTATAATATACCTTTTTACCTGACAACTTCTACAGTATGGTAATCAGTATAGATATTATAAGATAAGATACTTAAGTTGCCTATGTGTAGGTATAGGTGTACCTTACCAAATTGTCAGCATAATATAGTTAATCTTTCAGTAAGTACCTATGTATTTAAAATACATTGAGTCTATTTCTTGTCTATACAATATATGCTCACATTAATTTGTTAGACTGCTCTCGCTAATCTTACTGTAATTTTATGATAGGTCTAAATCTACTCGGTATCGTCATCGTAAAAAAGCTATGCAACAAATTAATGAATTATGTTCATCAAGTAGTGAAAATGAAGACCCACCATTAATTCCTGCTTCTACATACCCATCTGTACAAACTTTTAATTATGTTCCAACTGTAAATAAATGCCTAAATGAAGAATTTCAGCCTGATAAAAATACTGATGAAGATTTTAATGATCTAAGCACTTCTAGTGATGAAGAAGATGATGCCAGGGAAATAAACTGTAATGAGGAACTTGACAAAATAATTGCTTTGTGGGCTGTGCGCCACAATATAACTCATACAGCTTTAAATGATCTGCTAGTGAGCTTATCAGCTTTTCCTCAATTTAGTAATTTACCCAAAGATTCTCGAACGTTACTAAAAACCCCTATAACAACTCCAGTAAAAAATATAGAAAATGGAATTTATTACCATTTTGGGATTAAAGAAGAAATACAACATTTGATTACAACGAATCATGTTCTACCATCAACTTTATTCTTAAATGTAGGAATAGATGGATTGCCAATACAAAAAAATCCACCAAGCCAAATGTGGCCAATTCTAGGATTTTTTTCAAACATTTGTAATAAGAAGCCAAACATTTTTATCATTGGTGTTTACTATGGCCAATGTAAACCAAAAAGCTGTAATGAATTTTTACATGATTTTGTTAATGAGTTGTGTGACCTTATTAATAATGGTCTTGTATATAATAATAATATGCATGTTTATGTTGAATTAAAATCTATAATATGCGATACACCTGCAAAATCATATATATTAAATATCAAAGGACATACAGGAAAAAAATCTTGTTTAAGATGTTATATTAAAGGTGTATATGAAAATAACCGCATTTGCTTTCCTCAGATAGGTTCAAATCTCAGATCACACCAAGATTTTCTATCTTATTCTGACTTAGAATTTCACATTGGCCAAACAATAATAACTAAAATCCCAAAATTTGATATTGTTTTTTCAATACCTTTTGACTACATGCATTGTGTCTGTATTGGTATAATGAAGAAACTTCTAGTGTTTTGGACAGGTGTTAAACGTCATACAACAACTCTTCCAAGTGGTATTATATCAGCATTAGATGAAAGGTTAAACAACTTAGGCCAATATATACCACATGATTTTCAAAGAGCACCTAATGAAAACAATCGAAAACACCCTCTTCGGGATGCTAGTCGCTGGAAAGCTTCAGAATTACGACAAGTCCTTTTGTACAGTGGTATGGTTCTATTTAATGGTATTATTAGCAAAGAAATTTATGAACATTTTTTAGAACTTTGTGTTGCATTACGAATATTGTCTTTGCATAATATATCTGATGAATTTAGAGATTATGCTAAATTACTAATACAACATTTTGTAATATCATTTGGTCGAATTTATGGAAAATCATATATGTCTCATAATATTCATATTATTCTTCATCTGGCAGACGATACAAAAATATTTGGATCTATAAACAATTTTTCAGCATTTCCATATGAAAACTTTATGCAACCTTTAAAAAAAAAAATAAAATCTGGTGCAAAACCATTGCAGCAGCTTGTACGCCGATATGTTGAAGAAAATCAGTTACAGCTAAATAAAACAAATAAAACACCAGATCTTTTGGAAAACATTGGACCATTTAATGCTCGTTGCAAACTAAAAATAAGACCAATGACTCATGATAGTTGTGACCCACAGTACAGTGGTTGGAAAACAGATTTATTTATTTTAAAACTAAATGAAGGTGACAATTGTGTTCAAATGATAAACAAGGATATTGTAAAAATAGAGAATTTTATGACTTCAAAATTTGACAGCAGTATTTTAGTTGTTGGACGAAAGTACGAAAAAAAAGAAGAATTTTTTACAACACCATGTTCTTCATCTTTGCTCAACATCCATAAAGTTTCCAATCTTGGTCACCTTCAATCATGGAAACTGACTGAAATAAAAGAGAAACTTATGAATTTACCTCTTCCTAATAGTTCATCCGCAATAATTTTGCCATTATTACATTTGCAGTAAAATTATATTGAAGTAGTATTTTGCAATGCCATTAATCAATATTATTTAAGTAACTTAAACTAAATTATAAAAAAAACAATTATTAGGTAATTTATTTTTTATTATTGATAGAATAATAATTCTTACATATATTATTATGTATAATCTTATATCTATATAGTTTTAGACTTATAGGTACCTAATTTAACTTACTATAAAATATAGTATTTTATGTATTTTATACATACAGTTTAAATTTTTTGATGATATTTTACAGTGTTATTACTTATATTATATTTATATACTGAATCTATAGTTTAACGCAACTTTATGTGTTTTGTAATGTATATATACTGTTCCTACATATGTATATCTATTTGTATACAGGGCTTCATCTTGGTTTGTGGTAATATTTACTAGTACAAACGAGGTACAGCATGTACCACAGTCATGGATCATCAATGATGAAAAATGTTGGTTTCCTTATGTACAAAATGATAACTTACAAAAATATTTTACGCCTTCCCAAATTGAAAAACTAATTAAACAACAATCAAATATAAATAAACATGATGGAAAAAATCACAAAATAATAAAAGTTGCTGGGCCGTTTGGTAAGTGATCCCAAATATTATAAAATAAGAGTATATTATATAGTATAATTATTTTGTATAGAAAAAGAATTTAAAGCTAGAAGAGTCGCAAAAACCTGGTCGGAAGTAGATTCTGAAACAGATGAAGAAGAATTTGAAAATAGAAGAAAACGTTCATTGCCACTTAAAACGTTTCCACAGTCAGGCTGCAATAAATTAATAAATATGGAAAACTCACAATTATCTTTACCAATGCCACCAAAAGCTTCACATGATCCGAGTAAAATTCTACTTGATTTCCTATTTTGTTTTTTTAATTTGTCTTTTAATTTATTAATTTTATTATTGCTATGTGTTTAGTTTTGGAAACAAATGATAATTTTGATTATATCTCTGGTGATATTATTACAAAATCAAATGATATTGCTAACATTAGTTCATGTACTGATGTTTTTGAAGATATTATTAAAAATATCAATAATCCAATAGATACACACAACATTTCAAGTATGTTACAGACATAAACAACATAATTAACTGACTGTTAATTTATACCAAGATAATTACGTTTATAATTATACCTACCTAATATATTAAATAATTTATGTTTAAATAGGTATTGCCAATACTGCACATTCTAATGAAAACAATCCAAACACCCTGGTTTATGTAAATGATGATCATCTCGAGTTGAATAATTTTATAAGAGAAGCTGTAGAAGGTGATTTTGAAATGATAGATAATGATAACGATGATGGTTCTATGTTAAACGATTTGGATGTAAATGGAGATGATATTTTAAGTACTTCTCAAACTAAAGGTAAATAATTTTACTATATTAAAAGTAAATTATAGAATTTTATACTGGTTTACTAAAATAAATGTGAAACATCTTTTTTTTAGACCCATAAAAAAAAATTTTTAAAGTACCTAATACCTACATATTATTAAGTAGTCTATTTGCTTTTGCATATTGAAGTGATAAACTTGCCAACTATTTTGTTTATAACTGTTTCATTTAATTTTAAATTACTTATGATTGTATATTTTAAACTGTGAAATATGATTTTTGAGGAAAATAATACCTAAAGGTTTTTAAATATTTGTTTTCAGAAAACTCTCATACTGACAATTATAAAAATTTGATTACCATTATTGAAAAAAATGACACGCATTACAAATCCACATTAAAAAAGATAATGTTGCAAATGGTTCTATTATCTAATTCTAATGCTAAGCTGTGCACAAGTTTGACAAGTATGGATACCAAACTACAAGCAATATTAAAAGCAGATACTAGAACAAGAGCTTTAGCTCTTCCAGTACCAATGATACCAACAGCATTCATTGATTTGTTACCAGTTAAGACTGTTGAACAGTTAGAAATAGCCGAGTCTCTATTATCAGTAGAAAATGAGGATGGCATAGTTCTCAAGGAAGACTTAGTGAGTTAAATATATCTCAGCGTTGAAAAATTGATTATATGTCATTATTCCTTATTTTTCAGAAAATTTTTTTGCATCAAAAAGTAGGAGCGTTGTCAATAAGTTCTGCAGTGAGAGAGGCTTTAAATTGTTGTTTTGACTACTCTTTGTTGTCTATGTACAGCTTAAAAGGCAAAACTAAAAAAAGATTTGTGGATTTAAAATTATTCTCAGTGATTTATGGTAAGGATTTATTATACTATTCAAATGGATTTATTTAAAAGTATTATTACTATAAATTTAATTTTTAGAATCATTGTCTGGGTTAAGAGTCAATCCAGCTGATGAACAGAAGTTTATGTCTGTCTTAGACAATTATCTACGACATGCTCCAAAAGCAATAAATCCTTGATTTAATTAATTTTTTTTTTATTTTCTACACTATATTGTATAAACAATATTATAATATAGGTACGATGTTAACTTGTTAGTTATGTCTTAATAGAAAAACAGTTATTACAATTTTATTTTCAATGTTCCTTTATTAATTATAATTATATATGTATTATTAAATACAGAAGTGTATTATATTATACACTTATTACAATTTTTATTTTGTTACAAGTTTATACTAAATTTATATTTAAGTTCAATGTTATTTACTACCTAAGTTACTTATAACTTTTCACTTTTGTATAAACAATATTATAATATAGGTACAACGTTAACTATTGTTAGTTATGTCTTAATAGAAAAACAGGTATTACAATTTTATTTTCAATATTCTTTTATTAATTATAATATTATATATGTATTATTAAATACAGAAGTATAAATACTTATTACAATTTTTATTTTGTTACAAGTTTATACTAAATTTATATTTAAGTTCAATGTTATTTACTAAGTTACTAAGTTTTTAAAAATATATTATGAATTAATCGTGTTTTTAATATACAGAACTATATCTTTTGATCTTTATAAAAAAAAAAAAATACTGTCGTTTATTTCAATAAAATATGAACACAGATCGCACGGTAAAAACTTGAACCATAAAACAGTTATTTAACCAACAAATGTACACAAATCGCATGGTAAACAAATTAACAAAAACACGGTTATTTAACCAACAAATAAACCCAAACCGCACGGTTAAAAATAGAATAAATGTACGGTTATGTAACCGACAACAGCACTGTAAAACCATCGTTTCATTTATGCCCAGTTTGAACAGTAAAACGGTTTTTAAACTAAACCTTAGCACTTACATGGCACGGTTAAACCCATGTAAAAAATCGGTATTCATTTTTCGAAAAACACGGTGCTGTGAACCAGTTTTGTACCGTGCTTTGAACCAACGAGTTAATGTATTTTACACGCTGTCTGCACTGAAAATGCTACTCGGGAATATGGCGAATGAAGCCATCGAAAGCTCCTGGACTGGATGGCATTACAGCAGGGATGCTGAGGAAAGCTTGGCCACTTATAAAGGATACAACAACTCAACTGATGAATAAGTGTTTAGAAAATGCCAAATTCCCGGATTGCTGGAAAGTATCCAGACTGGTGATTATTCCGAAATCAGGGAAAAAGGATAAATCCAATCCTAAATCTTACAGGCCCATCAGCCTCCTGCCGACAATGAGCAAAGCACTAGAGAGACTAATAATAACAAGATTAGAAAGCGAAACCTCGCTCAACGAAATTGGTAATCAACACGGCTTTGTGGCGGGCCGCTCCACCATTACGGCTATGAAATCGCTGTATAACTGGACAGATGGGTCTAAGTGCAGGCACGTCTTTGGAGTCTTTCTGGACATCACCGGGGCCTTTGATAACGTCAAATGGTCCCCAATCCTGGAAAGACTTCATGAGATTGGCGCATCGGTTAGGAGCATTAACATGATAAACTGCTACCTCAACAACAGGCATGCCGAGCTTAAAATCGAAAACGAAGTAAGAACAAGACAGCTAACAAGAGGTTGCCCCCAAGGATCGCAACTGGGACCGACCTTGTGGAAGGTAGCCATGTCCGACATCAGAACCCCACCCGATCAGCAAATACAACACGTAGTTGCATACGCGGACGACATAGCCATACTCACGGGCGCCGACAGGCCAGAAACAGCGTTTAAGAGAATGACCGAGTATCTGGACGAAATGAGAACCTGGGCGGAGAAGTATTCCCTTGAATTCTCTGAAACGAAGACACAACTAATGTCTGTTAAGGGTGGTCTAAAACCATCGTACAGTATCACATTTGGCACGAACAATGAAGCCACAGTCATAGAACCAACCAGCAAAGTTAAGTATTTGGGGGTAATTCTAGACCCAAGGCAATCCTACGCAGACCACATCCTTGAACTGGTGGGAAAATCAAAAGACCTCTATAAAAGGCTCAGAGGCATGTCATCTGCAAACTGGGGCATGAGCAGAAGAACCGCCAGAATCATTTATGAGGGCGTCTTCCTGCCCAGAATAACTTACGCGGCGGAAATCTGGTGGGAAGGCGTCAAACTCGAGAAATGTAAAAAGAAACTGGGATCAATGCAAAGAGATCCGCTATTAGCGATAACAAGCGCGTACAAAACGGCCTCAACAAACTGCCTTACGGCAGTAGCCGGCGAGCTCCCTCTCGACCTTAAGATAATAGAGTATGCATTCAAAAGACAGGCGAAACTCGGCGCCATTACACTCGAGGCCCTGAAGATCAAACAGACCGAGCTACTCGCAGAATGGCAAAGGAGATACGAAACAACAGACAAAGGCGAATGGACAAAAAGAATGATACCATCGGTAATTGAGAGATATTACCTTCCAATGGAGATGGATCATTACACGAGCCAAATATTAACAGGCCATGGCGATTTCCGTGGTAAGCTGTTTTCATTCAAACTAGTGGACTCGCCAACGTGTGAGTGTGCCCTCGGAGGCTCGGAGACAGTAGCACATGTCCTCCTAAGGTGCAGGCGTACCGAAGAACAAAGAGAAGAGCTAAAGGAAGCACTTCGCAGGGAAGAACAGGCGTGGCCTCCTGAAGACGGAGTATTCCTCAGATCAAAAGGACTGTATGAAGCCCTACGCAAGTTTGCTAGAGACAGCCTTAGAAACAGAACCGATAGATAAACTGCGGTCAACCGCATCGCCGGAACGCGGCCACCAACTAATAGTGACGATCACTACAGGTGGTAGGACCAAGACATGGGGTGCCTCGAATGTGCAAAGGACGGAGAAAGTGGCAGAAACGGGGGGCACGCTCATGTGCGTTCCGGCAGGGCCTTGCGCATGCGCCTAGGGCGAGGAGTCCGGCCCCGCTGCTGGGGCCGTCCAGAATACAGCATCAGTATTCCCTGCTTGTCGTAAGAGGCGACTAAAAGGGAAATGGCCAGACGGGGCCGGCGTCCGGGACGCGGACACACCGAAACCCTCGGGGACTAGGGTGTTGGGGGTTTTGACTGCGACCCCGTGAAGAGCGAGTCGATCACCTCGGTGATGCCTCTGGGAGGCGTGGCAAAGGCTACCGAGCCTCGAACTCGGGGGTCGCGGCCACCGCGCCAGGGCGACCGCCACTGGTAAGGGCCCACCGTGAGCCCGCGATACACGATCCTAATCTCGGTAGGACCACAGCTGAGACTTCCGGTCGACGAAGCTCGGCCCGGCCATCCAACCATTGATGGGCCTTCCTAACGGGGGAAAAAATGGTACTTCGGGATGTGGGGGAGCCCCGCGGCGTCGAGAGATTGACGACGTGCCCTCACACGGCGGTCGCGCCCGGCCTCGGTCGCGGCGCGGTCGACGGAGATTTGGTTTCGGAGTGGCTGTTAGCGGGAGCTAACCCTATGGTTAAAAGACCGTATGCTTGGTCTAGGGGAAGGTTGCCGAGTGAGAAACTCCTTAGCGCTCACCCAGCCTACCGGTGGGGCTATATGCACCGGAGGTTGCCCGTGACCAAAAACGGGAAGCAATGAGGATAGCTTGCGACCCGACCAGGGTGGCGAAGGGCACGTGCACGCCTCAGCCAACGGTACGGGCGCACTCTCTCCCGACTTCGGTGGGAACGGGTGTGCGCCCGGTGCTCGTGGTCCATAGACGACGCGCGGCCGGTGGTTGGTGGGTAACTCCACCGTACGCCGACCGTGAACCTCCGCGGCTCTCGAATAGCGCACAGCGCTAATGTGAGGTCCACGGTTGTAGCCGCAAGGCACCAAAACCCGGGAGTCTTCGTGTCCTCATCACAATCATCTTTTTTTTTATGGCACATATACGTCTAGGTATTTGTAATTCAACTTGTCTAAAGCATTGAGCTTCATATTGGGTTATATTTTCAATAAACCTACCACATTTCATTCTTTTTTTGCCTGCTAAAATATGATTTTTCACTAAATTAAACCAACTTTCTACTGATACATTACTCTGGCGTTCTTCCAGATGAATAAGAGTAGTCATAACTTTTGTCCACATAGGCACATTTTCAATAAGGAAATGTAACAAGTACTCTTCTGAATACATACTATTAACATCTAGGTGATTATGATCCTGTGAGGTAATATTTACTATTTTTTTTACACTGTCAAATATTTCCTTAAAATCATGATAAAATGCAGATTTCTTTCGTTCGGCATAATACGAGGTATCAGTGGTTTTACCACAAGAGTAATTTTGATCGTCATCAAACTTTTCAATTTCATACTCAACTAATCCATTGTTCGTTCGTAGGTATGATTTCATTTCCATACTTGCTGCTTTACACATTTCCGTTGACTTGTCTGACAAGATCATAGTCGACAGCAACTTAAACCAATGTTTGATTTCTTCATAATTGTTCATTTCAAACACTAACCCAACACATCTGGCTATATAAAATGCTGTTTTTCATCATCTGGATAATAATGTTTAACATGGTTCAGAATATTTTTTACATAATGGTTTGTACAAGAAGTAATAACTACTGTGCTATAAGACAATGTTTCTCTTCCGGATAATATTCGATGACACATATCCAGGTATTCAAATATTGTTTCTTTACCATTCCATGCTTTAGAAATACCATGCATAAAAGCCCAACTGAAATCAGTTACAACATTTTTGAAAGGCGGCCAGATACTTGGATCTTTTGCAATTATTAGATCTTTAAGACATTTCAACCATTCTGTAACAGTTTCTCTATCATGCGTTGCACTGACCATATCAGTTATTGGACATACGGTTTCAATTTCACCTATACGCACTACACAAGCATAATAATAAATAGTTAGTTTTGTTGAGTTCTGAGGGGGCCTAACAACTGATCCTGTTGAATCCACATGAATAGTTGTTAATACACCTTGTTTAAATAAATTTTGAACTATAGCCAACTGCTGTTGGCTTGCCCATGTTACAATGAATGGCTCTTGTATGCTTTCGGGAACTTTCATATTCAACCAGGAATGTTCTTTGGCCATTAAAACTACATCAAAGTGATTGTTACGTATCTCCTTGGAGGTCCGTGCACAAATAAAAACAACGAACACTTTCGAACTATATGTTACTTTCTATATTTAACTTGAAAAGAAAAACTTACAATACACTTAATGAATTATTTAATGTTTTATAAAAAATGGTCTGACAATAATAATGTTCTGGCGCGAATCACAATGTTCCGTCTACTGCTCTGAAATGCCACTGGCACGGCTTGCTATACGAGCCGTGCCTGTAGCCAGCGCTTGCCTGGAATTGCTGTCGCAGCAATCCCAGACAGTCGCCGTCGTACAATATTATATTATACACTATTATATATATATATATACTAACTAATATATCCAGGGGTTCTTAACACCCCCCAACTTAAATGGAACTTAGGGACCTAATGGTTCCCTAATGTTCCGTACAATATGTTTTCATAACTAAATTTATGATTATAATGTTTACTTATTATTCAGTGATAAAATATCCGGTAAATCCGGATAGTACATTCTAATTATGCTGTTTCTAAACTTAATAGCTAATCCACTAACTACGGATATTATAGTTAACATTAAGATATACACAAGTACCATATGAAATTCCATTTGAAATATTATTAGAGACTCTGTTGTTACCTTTGGTAACTTACTTATTTCTATTAAGGGGCCTGCACGCGACCTGTTTTTTTGCTCAAAAACATGCCTTACAGGAAAAACTCTCACGCCTCGTAGATTGGTCCGATTTCCGTAATTTTTTTTTTGTTAGATAGAGGAAGACTTCTTACAGGGCGCATTGGACTTGGATTTTCAACATTATTTTTCTAAATCTTATGTTACAAGTTTGAATTTAATCAATTTTTACAACTTTTTAATTTTTGTATTATTTTTTGTTTTTAGCGACGTAATAAAAAATCGAAGTCCAATGCGCCCTGTAAAAAATATTCCTCTATCTAACAAAAAAAAAATACGGAAATCGGACCAATCTACGAGGTGTGAGAGTTTTTCCTGTAAACTGTGTTTTGACCGATATAATACACCCTATCAACCCCCCCCTAAATAGGTATTGGGTAGTAGATTAGTGGAAAAGTCTTATAATTGAGGTGGCAACTAAAATATAAAATTTAATTTTCAAATTTTATAGAATTGCGGAAAATTTGAAAAATCGCGAGCAGGCCCCTTAACCTTTTGGATAAAGAATTAAAATCGTGTACGATACTTATGTCTTTTAGGTTCTAGGGAATTATATTTTTTAGACTCTCTGATAATACTGATTCCTGTTTTTTGCTTTCTGGAATTAAATCAGTATAGATACCTCTATTAGATCTACTGGTCGGAAATATAATGGAATTTTCTGTATGGATTTCACAATCTTGGGAGGTGGTCAACCTTCCTACGCCTGAGATCTGAAATGATACTATTTGTGGAGGTTCCGCACATTTGATGGTCACTAAAGTTGGTTGCGTGTAAAATAACCATGCATTGGAATCCAATAACTTATCCCAAATGGACGTTGTTAATGTTACAAATTTTATTTTACAAGTTTCTGGGATTGGTTGATATGTTAGAAGTGCTACTTCGCAAACGTTCGATCTCGAGCGGCGGTGAAATGTTTGACCACCTTTACATAATTTGTAAGTGTCTAAATGTACACATGATTCCCACTGTTTCCCTGTTATATAAAAAAATTCCTCATTATCATTGTTAATTACCAAATATTCGACTTCGGGTTCAATTAAAATTAATGTATTGGTAGAATATATCATTGGTAATGAAACAACTCGATACACATTTAATACTTTACTTGAAATCAAGGGTATTTCAATAGAAAATATTAAGTACTCGTTTTGCACGAAAATCGTTATTTCAGAGATTTTGAAAAGGTTTGGCATGGACTCAGGTATTACTTCTATCGGGAGGTCGTTTCCCATGGGTAAGTTGATTTTAATTTCTTTTAACTCCTGTATTAATTTTCTGGGGGTAATTACGCTGGTGTGGATCTTGCCATCCAGTGCTGCATTTATAATGGCAATAAGGTTTTGTGTTTCGTAAGCATACTGATTGAGAGTTACCTCGAATAAAAAGGCTTGCTCTAACAGTTTATTTTTAAATTCTAGTTTATTGATTTTAACGATACTTTCTTTGGTCAGTCTTTGTAAATACTGCAAGTTATTATCGAGTTTCTGATGATGTTCTGCGATTTCCTGTGAAGTATGATTTGCATCCAATATTTCTGCTTGTACAACTCTTGTTTTTTCTTTGACTAAATTAATATTCTGAATTTTGTTTTTGGTTAATTCTACGATCTGTTTAAATATGAATTCGGTGTCGATTTTCGAGTATGCACCATACAAAACGTTGATCAGGCGCTTGAAGGTACCTCCCAATCCTCGGCGATTTCGAATTTCATTATTTGAGTTATGCTCTATCGATAACGACGATTTAACTGAATTTCATATAAATATGGACGGGTTGTAGTAGAAAATTGGTTTACGAATTGATTACAAATGTTTTCTATTTCTGCATTACCAAAGTTTGCTATCATTTGCTTACAAATTGTCTCCATTTCGCTATACTGGGTCATCAACTTATCATATTTTGTGGTCAAGATTCCAATGTCCACATACGTTACCAAGTTCCATTTAGTGTGAGAAGTTTTGATCATTCCGTGAGATTCATAATAGAATCCTTTGTGATCCGGGAAGGTAGTAATGTTATAATTCTCTTGAGCTTCTGATGTACCATCCCATATCCACATTATCAGGATTACCATTTTCGAGAATGACGGATTTTTCTTGGAAATTCCAGCGAATGCCATGATGGGTTTCCTGGAACAAATTCATTTTTCTCGTTTCATTTTTCGTGAAATAACTTTAGTAAATTTTGATGTATGGTCTGATTCTTCTTGTAATTTTTTTTATGGTTACATTTTTATTTGTTGGATTTACATCTACAATTTCATATGGACCCAACCACTTCGGGGCCAGTTTGTTTTTCGCGGCTTTTTCTTGTAGTAAAACCTTCCGACCGACTTCAAAAATTTGATGTTTTGCTGTCTTGTCGTACAGTTCCTTTGACTTGCTTTTTGCTTCCAGCAAATTGTTTCTTGCAAAAGCCTGAGCTTCTTGCATTTGTCTTTTGACTTCGAATTGGTAGTCATTATAATTGTACTGAGGTTCTGGTTCGTTAGTGAAAGATGTGGGGATTTTTACAGAATTTCCATAAACCAAATGATATGGCTGGAATTTCGTGGCTGAATGAACAGTGGAGTTATGGCAAAACATCGCATATGGGATTCTAGTATCCCAGTTTAGTTGGTCTTTTCCGATAAAATTTCGTAAATATTCTGCTAAAGAACGATGACTTCTTTCGAGACTGCCATTGCTCTGAGGGTGGTAAGGTGTGGTCGACGTCTGTCTAATTTTTAGGAGTTTACACACCTCTTTAAAAACGTTGCTTAAAAATTCCGTACCACAGTCTGTCACCAGACTTTGCGGTATTCCGTGTAAGCACACGAATTTGGTCACAAAATGTTGTGCTACCGTATTCGCTTCATGATTCTCCATGGGGGAAGCCCATGCGAATTTAGTGAGGTCATCTTGTAACGTTAAGATGAAAGCATTTCCACTATGTGAACGAGGTAGTGGTCCTACGACATCTAGGAATATTTTTTCGAAGGCTCTGGTAGCTGTGCTGGTAATCACCATAGGCTCTTTTGGTGTTCTTGTCGCTGTTTTATTCTTTTGACAGTTTGGACATTTTTTTATGAATTGTTTGATTTGTTTTCTCATGCCCTTCCAGTTATGTTCTTCGTACATCTTATTGGACGTTCTAGTTAATCCATGATGTCCTCCTAGCGGGTTTTCATGCAATTCTTTTATTTTCTGTATTTTCTGGTCTTCTGTTAATTCATCTCTGGTGTAGATACAGACTTTGATGTTCGAATTTCCAAAGGTGTTTCGAAACATGTTTCGGATGATTTCCCATTGTAGTCCATCTGCTTCACTTCCAATCCTTGGACAAGCTAGACTGGTTATTTTTAATTGCATACACAATTCTTTAAGTTTCTGTAAACAACTATAGATTGCTTGATACGTCGACTTTTGCCAGTGATGCTCTTTTGTTAATAAATAAAATATTGTTCGTTGTTCTGACTGAATAACGGCTACATCATTAACTAATTTTTGTTCTTTCCGCAATTGGTCCACCTGCCCGAATTTCCGTCTCATTTGAAGGGCGATACCTCGAGACATATTAAAATCAGCGGAAATGCAATGTGCTATTGATGTAGTAGATTCTGAGTCGAAAATATTACCTGTTAGCTCCATTACATTGGTAGTAGGTTTAGCTTTGGTATTAAAAAAAAAATATTCATCAGAAGGCTCTGGATTGCATAGAGGTTCTGAAGTGTTTGAGACTTCCGGTGAATCTACGATTTTTATTCTGTCGGAACTGTTGAAAGTGAAGCTTGACGGACTAATGATGTTAGCATTAATATAATAAGTAATAACACGACAATATGATTATGTATAAGTATAATATATAATAACGTACAACTGGACAATTAACCTGTGACTATACACACACACCGCGTACACTCGGTATGACAGTGTCTGTGCAAGTGAATATTACATACATCAAAGGCCCTATTTATATGAACAATCGAGGCCATCCCGTATCCGTATATAATATAGAAAGCGATAGTAAAGGTGTTACACAGCTATATCGTAACTGCATAAGTATCTATTAGAAAACGACATTGTACACGCACGTGTGTTTACATGGTTTGAATACTAATATTAATTGTATATTTCAACACCCTCCCTCAATTAATAATTTCTTTAATTGTAGTCACTCCTATGGCTGACCGCAACTTCTCGAATCGTTCCTTAACCAAAGGCTTGGTTAGAATGTCCGCAATCTGGTCCTCTGTTCCAATGTACTGTAGTTGGAACTGTCCTTCTTCGTATTTCTCCCGTATGAAATGATATCGTACGTCTATG